TTAGATTTCAACTTTGTTGATATATGAAGGTCATATTATGACTTTCTCAGAACCTTTTCCACATGCCTTCATTAGTCATTTTTCCCATACTTTTTAAATACCTTGTGCTGTTTTATACTCTTGTAAATAAATATATCATAAAATATTAATATGTTTTTAAAACCATGATGATTTAAACGGGGTAATTATATTTAACTAAAACCATAAAAAAATCATTACTTGGAATAAAATAAACATTAACTGAAATAAAATATTTTTAAAAAATTAAAAAAGAATTTTTTTGTCTAGTTGCCAAGGCAACATTTTTCATTTTCATTTAGTTTAACGATGTACTAAAATAACTGAAACTAAAACAGAAAAAATATTAATAAAAACTATAAAGACATATTTAAAAAAATTTTTTTTTTTTGAAAATGACACAAAATGCACTAAAACAAAATGACTAAAACTTAAAAATGAAGTGAAAAATGACTAAAAATTAAGTGAAAACAGAAAATAAAAACTAATTCAAAATCTTAATAAAAACTAATATTTTCTCAATGATACTAAAGTAACACTGAATGTAAACATGATTTATTTCAATATTATTATTTATAATTTCCGTATTTATTAGGTGAAAATGACACTCATTTATTCACATTTGATTAGTGACTATTATACATGAACTTATTTCAAATTAATTTAGAAAAAAAAATTAATTTATGTATTAATATTATTGATAATAGAATTTTAAAAATGTAATTATTCTTATTCATTTTCTACCATAACTTTTCTAAATATTCCAAAAATCTTCAAACATTCTTTGTATTCCCAGGTTTAAATAGAAACATCTCATATTTTCAATGTACTTTCAGACCTCTGGACCTCATTATTATCATCAGTTTTCTGTGAACATCACTCTCAGCTGTCAAACGGACCAGCACAGGGAATCTGACCCGCTTCAGCTTCTCCTCTCACAGACAGCACGGCAAAACCCATAAATTACAGGAATTAACTGATGGCAACTAAAACACCCGGGGCAACTTTGTAAGTTGTTTAAATCTTTAAACTTACAGCATCTTCTGCACACGGCTGTAACTGAACGCACTGCAGGGCTGTTGTATTAATGAAGGGGAAACTACAAACCGCATTCAGTCCTGAGGAAAACACTCTCTGGCCTCAGGACGCTTTTCTTCTGTATGTGTCTGATACCTGCAGGATCGCTCAGCTTTCCTACTTCTGTAATCAGTTAAGCAGTTGTTTTGAAAAATATTCTTGCTTTATGCATTTCATATGTTAACAGATGATTATCGGTTCGAATCAATTCAACTTTATTGCCATTAGGGCTGCAGAACAGCACATTAATACATTAGGAAACTACCTGTTTGCTTTAATATTTCTACTTTTTTACATTTGATATGTCATAAATCATAAATGTTGACTTTTATAATTGTTCTACTCTTTAAATTTTGAAGAAACTCCTTCAAACATTCTTTGTATTCCCAGGTTTAAATAGAAACATCACATATTTTCAATGTACTTTCAGACCTCTGGACCCAACATTGTTTTATTTGCCTATTAAATCCTCTTCTTCTTCATTATTATCATCAGTTTTCTGTGAACATCACTCTCAGCTGTCAAACGGACCAGCACAGGGAATCTGACCCGCTTCAGCTTCTCCTCTCACAGACAGCACGGCAAAACCCATAAATTACAGGAATTAACTGATGGCAACTAAAACACCCGGGGCAACTTTGTAAGTTGTTTAAATCTTTAAACTTACAGCATCTTCTGCACACGGCTGTAACTGAACGCACTGCAGGGCTGTTGTATTAATGAAGGGGAAACTACAAACCGCATTCAGTCCTGAGGAAAACACTCTCTGGCCTCAGGACGCTTTTCTTCTGTATGTGTCTGATACCTGCAGGATCGCTCAGCTTTCCTACTTCTGTAATCAGTTAAGCAGTTGTTTTGAAAAATATTCTTGCTTTATGCATTTCATATGTTAACAGATGATTATCGGTTCGAATCAATTCAACTTTATTGCCATTAGGGCTGCAGAACAGCACATTAATACATTAGGAAACTACCTGTTTGCTTTAATATTTCTACTTTTTTACATTTGATATGTCATAAATCATAAATGTTGACTTTTATAATTGTTCTACTCTTTAAATTTTGAAGAAACTCATATGATAACAACAGGTTCCTTTGTGACAACTTACCCCATATAGTGTAACAACATGTGTTGCTATTGGGGCATGTTGTCACAAAAGGTCAATGTGTGTTATGTTAATGAAAACGAAAGTAGTAAAGAAATTGCCTCTGAAACTGTATTTTCCATTAACTCTGCATAACAATCATATTTTACTTTCCATTGTGACAACTTACCCCATTTAGTGTGACAACATGTATTGCTATTGGGGCATGTTGTCACAAAAGGTCAACATGTGTTTAATGACCTCAGTAGTATTTTGTAAATGTTCAGTAGTAAATAAATTGAGACTGAAGCTTCTTTGCCATGAGCACTGCAGAACAGCACTGCAAAATGATGTATTATTATTAATGCATTGGGAAATCGGGGCTAGTTGCTTGCTTTAATATTTTTACATTTTTTTTTTTTTTTACATTCAATTTGTCATATACATTGTTGTTTCATAATTGTTTTACTCTTTAAAATCTGCTGAAACTTCTGCAATAATGGAAGGTTCTATTGTGACAACTTACCCCAAATAGTGTGACAACTTATTGCTGTTGGGGCATGTTGTCACAAAAGGTCAATATGTGTTTAATGAACTCAAGTTTTTCAAAATGTTCTAAATTGACAAACTTTATTGCCATGATCACTGCAGTACAGCACTATATATATTAGGAATTCTGCATTTTGTCATTGTTTTCACATATGATGTGTCATAAATCATACATTTTTGGGGTTCATAATTGCTTTACTCTTTAAAATGTGCTGAAACTCCTATGATAACAAAAGATTCCAATTGTGACAACTTACCCCATATAATGTAATAACATGTGTTACTATTGGGGCATGTTGTCACAAAAGTTTTCGTAAATGTAAAGTGCTGTAGTATTTTTGTACTTGAGAGATGTTAATGTTTGTGTCTACAGTATATAGAAACTGATACAGACATTATACAGAAATAAAATAAAAATGAGACTAGCTCCAGCCGATTATTCTACATTACTGAATTTAATTATATATATTTTCCTTATTTGGAAGTCGGGTAGATCTATCTTTCTGTTTATCATTCCTCCATTCTATACATTTGATATGTCATAAATCATACATTTTTGGGTTTCATAATTGCTTTACTCTTTAAAATATGCTGAAACTCCTATGACGACAACAGGTTCCAATTGTGACAACTTACCCCATATAATGTAACAGCATGTGTTACTATTGGGGCATGTTGTCACAAAAGGTTCAACGAACTAATTTCGTAAATGGAAAGTGCTGTAGTATTTTTGTACTTGAGAGATGTTAATGGTTGTGTCTATATAGAAACTGATACAGACATTATACAGAAATTGAATAAAAATGTGACTAGCATTCTACATTACTTAATTTAATTCTATATATTTTCCTTATTGGAAGTCAGGTAGATCTATCTTTCTGTTTATCATCCCTCCATTCTATTACTGTAATAAAATGAATCATTATGTTCTATTCTACTCTTTGAAATCTGTCATTCCTCCGAACGGACACCGGCGGGCGCCAAACATCACGGAACGCGTCGTTCAGCATCAGTCCTGCATGCGAGATCCACAGTAATTACGGGTCTCAGCGCAACATCAATTATTCACACTTATTTACACGCAAATAAACAAACATTCAGATAAATAAATAATCGAGTACCTGCGCGGGGAAAAGCGGCGGGGCGCGCTCCGGCACAGCTGATGCCCAACACAACTGTCTTTATTTGTTTGCCTGCTGTTAAATAAATGAAAATCCGGCTCGAGAAGTGTACGATTGTGTTTGTGTGGGTTTAAACCGACGTTGTGCCCCGTTTGCACGAGAGATCCTGCAGCAGACGTCTCCATCTAGCCGTGCGCAATAATTGAAATGGCGCATTTGGCTGCGGGCGGACTGTGAGGGCGCACAGTGAATGATGTCCAGACGTCATTTGCTTTTAATGGCCTCCAGGAAATTTGCCATTACAGTTCTCACAGACATTAGAGCACAGAGAGGAGCGAGGGGGAAAGCGCCGCATGCATGAGCACCAGATCCAGATTTTCTCTTTGTAAAAAGAATACGCGTCTTTTATCGCCACTTTATCAACAAGTTCCAGTGCGCCTCCCGCTTTCGCGAGAGCGAAGAGAGACTTTTACTCGTTCAGGGAAGGAAAATGTGTTGCCTTTGTGAAAGAGCCTGGGGGAATATTACATCAGACGAAATGACAATGATTAAAATCAGCCTTTCTGCCTCTCCAAAGTCTCAGGAACGGCGTGGTGGCACTTGCCAGATGCGTAAACCGTTATACGCTGAACTTTAAACCCTCGCCAGCTATTTTTACTTTGCGAAAGAGCTAAGCGAGGCTAAATAATCGAGGGGAATATCGGGTTTGCATCTGTTCCAATGAGTCTGCTCGGTTTGAGTTAATTGTCCTCTAATCCCGTGGCCCCAGAGGCGTTTGCGCAGCCTGGAGCCAGAATTCTTCTTTCGGCTCTGCTCTGATTTAGAGACGGATTATTGGCTTCCTTCTGCCCATAAGCAAAGCAGCAGATTCACCGTGGCCAAAAAAAGACAGTGGCGAGGCTGATATACGCGACCGAATCAGAGTATTAAGAAATAAGAAGATCAAGAGGGGGAAGGAGAGCTCTGGTCTCCTGGAGAAGGTAAGACGGTCCTGCGCGCTTTTGCGCTTGAGCTCTGAACGCGTCCAGACAGCAGCAGCGCAGCTCGCTATAGTCGCCCAGACCCTTCGCGATCCACCTCTGACATGTTTTAATGCAGCTTGACGCGCTTTTCACTCCGGACAGGAAGAGAATAGCTAGGCTGGATCGTTTATCGGATAGAAACTTGACCGCGAACCTTCATCTGGGAGCCGATTGATCGAACCGGACTCGGAGCGCGATTCGGACACCTACGATGTTTGAAACGGTACCATTTCACTTAAATCTCACCTCAATAGAGTGGACGATTCATGTGATGGTGCTTTTGTGGTTTGCCGTGAATGAGTGCAGCGACGCGTCCTGAAACGCGTTCACGCTTCATGTCCTGTGACATTCTTTTCTGATTCCGTAACCTTATTAAACACCCTAGGCATCGAGAACCTGTGTTTTTAGGAGGGCATATGCCTCATTCCTGAAGCTTTATCGCTGGGAGTGAGACGCCATGTTGTGAAATGATCTGAATTGAAGTTTTAACCCGTAGGGCACCGACCTGAAACTGAACTGAGAATGAAAGAAAGCAGGAAAAGTGTGTGTTGATTTCATTGTATGTGTTCCGAACGTTTCCACGAACGTCTTCCAAAAGGCATTCTACAGATTCCTCCATTAGCTGTCGAACACAAACGTGTTTGGTGACAGGGAAACCGAGGATTGGATGAAAACCGTCTCGAAGTTAAAGATAGTCCAAGCTAGTAACCAGCAGCTCAAGATGGTTTTGGAAGCAGCTTAGACTATCTACCGAAATGCAGCATCAAGTTTAAGATGTATTTCCCCAGCAAACACAGAACGCTTTCCAAACATTAGGTTCAGGACGCAGGAGGGTTTTTGTGTGGAAACCTAATCTGTAATGATTATTTATATGTTGCATTCTTATAATCTGGAGTATTTTGAGTGTTTTGAGTCATTTTCCTCATGTGTATATGAAGCTTGACCATCTTGACTTTTCTTTACTCTTCTACCTGGTCCCTCCTATTAACAAAAAGAGAGAGAGAGAGAGAGAAGGGGTAGATCCACTGTATTCCCTCAGCATTAATATCTGGGCTTTTGGTTACAACGCCCGTAGCTATATGGAGATGAGGGATAGCTTCTTATGCCAAAACGTCTTAAGTATTTTTTTTTTCTTTCAATGGAATCTGAAATGTATCATCTTGCTTGTGTATTAAATGAACATTAGTGCTGAGGGCTTGGTGGCAACACCCTGGAAAATTCTGCCGTCCGCCTCCAGTGCATGGCCTCCAGCGCTGGAGCTGAGCGGAGCCTGTAACAACCGCCTTCTGTTTACCATGTATGGTTAAAATAACAGGTGTGCAAATGAGCCAATGCATGGAAGAACTTGTCGTTGAAATCCCTTTGAACTCCAGGTTCACAATGAAGCAGTCTTTCTTATGACAACTGGAATAGGTTAAGTCGTGTTTCCATGTGGCCCTGCGTGATCCGGGCATTGTGAGGTAAAGTTCTGACTTGTATAAACAAGCCTTTAGGTTTGGACAGAGTTAACGTCTTTTCAGTAGACAATCTTCCAGTGAAATTCAGGAGGAAAGTGGGTTCATGTGTGAATGCACTTTGATTCAAATCAAAGTCACTCTTGCCCGTACAGTAGTACAGATTTATTCTGAGCATTAGAAAGTGTAAAATGCATACCAGAACAAGCCTTTACATTGGCGTGCGTTCATTGAGCAGATAACTGACAGAATGCCACAATCCAAAGTTTCAAAATTGCTCTGAAAAGAGCTAGAACAGAGATGAGACCGTAAAACAGTCATTTAAGGTTGTGCATTGACAAATGCAATTTGTGCATTACAGTTCAAGCTAGTAGACCAGCTGGTCAAGATGGTTTAAAAACCTAAAAGCAACTACAAGTTTAAGATTTAATTTCCAGCAAACACAGAGCGTTTCTCAAAAATTAGTACAGTATGTGGTTCCCATTTGATGTGGTCCCTATATTTAAAAAAAAGTACATTAGAATTTGTCAGATGTAAACAGAGAAATTGCATTTTAAAAATTCAGCATTTGTGCAATCTAGGGAGAAAGTGCATCTAGATTTTTCTTAAAGATTTGGAAGATGATTCCAGCATGGAGGTCCAGTGATGCTGGAAGTCGAGCGATTCTCAGTTCACTAACAGCGGATTCGTGGTTGGAAGTGATGCCTGGCGTTCCACGTGAACGCGCGCAATGCCCTCGTTTCCCAAATGTTCAGATTGGTTGCTGAAGTGTCGGAGGATATCACGTCTAACACATAACACGACCTTTAATTAGAAACTTGCCTTTTTTTTTTCTCTCTTTCCCATCCCCGGAGGCGAACACCTCGCATATCTCTCTCGCTCTCCCTCTCTCTGCAGCGTTAATAAACATCCTTGTATCCTGCCCTCGGGCTGCACCAGTGAAAAGATACAAACATACTTCATTAGAGCTGTGGCAATAATTTGTAAGCTAAATATGCGATGGGGCAGATGAGAAAACGATCTGATAAGACTCGCACAGACGCTCAAGGTGGGAGAGACGCTAAGGCACCGTGAAGGTGCATCAGCAGCAGCATTTCTCCATGGCTTTCCCGTTTGTCTGCTTCCAGGAAGGGAGAAGCATGTCACGCCTGTCTCTGACCCGGTCTCCGGTCTCTCCTCTGGCCACGCAGGGGATTCCACTGCCGGCTCAGCTCACCAAAGCCAACGCGCCCGTTCACATCGACGTGGGTGGCCACATGTACACCAGCAGCCTGGCGACCCTCACCAAATACCCAGACTCACGGTAAGACCCCTGGCCTCTTGTCTTGTTACGTAAAAGCATGCATCCAGAAGTTTAACGGCAAAATGAATCAGCTTTTCGTTATTTATGTGCACTTTGTGTGCAAATGTTTGCTTTTAGCATTTTTACATTATACAAACCATTTTGAAGTGTTAGAATCATTTTGCTTGATGTACAAGGGCACATTCATTTAAACCTTTTTTTTGGTTCAATTAAATTATTTTGAAACTCTTTTTGGCATAAAATGAAGTTTAAGATGCTCTTTGGTCTTGTTCGTGTAGCTCAGTAAAGCAAAGCAAAGCAAAGCAAAGTCACATCAAATACTGAGACATTCACAAATGCATCTGCATTTTGGTTCATTTTCTTAGTATTTAATTAGGAAAATGTGCTAAATAAAGTGCTCTCAGACTGTATATGTGGAGTGTCTGTCTGAGTGGTTTACTCAATTAGAGCTGATTAGAGGCTAATCATCTGTTCTGATGACATGTGAATGTGATCAGAATTCCCTGTGACTCGTTCTGTCTGATCCTCGATTGTGACTTTATTAGGAGAGAGACAGAAACATAAGCGGTGCACTCGTTGCTTTCATCATAGAGTGAGATTAAGTCTGATTTCTGAACAGAGAGAGAGAGAGAGAAAGAGACTTGTTTGAACATTTAGAATATTGAATTTCATTGGACTTGATCAGATGATAAAAACCTTTTTAAGTATTATGATTGAAACACAATGCAAAAGTTTGTTTTGAGTCTGTACAGTTTGCACCAACAATTTGTATTGTTACTATTCTGTGAGCGCTATCATTTTTTGCATCTGTTTGTATTTTAATGGGTAAAGCAGTGGTTATAAAGTAAATATCACTATTCTATTCTATTCATTTGTTCACTTCAGTCATGCATAAAGATGTCTAAATGTCATTGCATTAGAAACAGTATCAAACTGAGTTTCTGTATCTGCTCAAATGCTGCAGGATTTTTTTTTCTCTTCACTAACTTCACTTTTCTTCATCATTTTGAAGTCTCAGTGTCTTTAAATAAGCTGGTGTTTTTTAGTGGATGAAGCTTAGGCAGGTATCAGAGTATAAATAGTTTTTGTCTTCATTTTCAACACTAGATCAAAAATGTTATATCAGTAAGACTTTTTAAAAGAAATTATTACTTTAGTTTAGAAATTATGCATTAAATTCCTTAAAAATACTGACAAATACTTTTATAATGTTAGAAAGATCTTGAGCAGCAAATCAGCATATTAGAATGATTTCTGAAGGATCATGTGACACTGAAGACTGGAGTAATGATGCTGAAAATACAGCTTTGATCACAGAAATAAATTACATTTTAACAGATATTCACATAGAAAACAGCTGTTTAAATTGTAATAATATTTCACTGTTTTACTGTATTTTTGACCAAATAAATGCAGCCTTCATGAGCAGAAAAGACTCTTTTAAAAACATAAAAAAATCCTAAACTTTTGTGCACCTAGTGCAATGACATTCATGCATTAAGTGTGTCTTAAGTGTCCAAATACTTTTTGCAGTAACTGCCAGCATTTAACGCGTGCTTTCATTTGAGTTCACAAAAGACTGACCATCCGCACACATTAGCACCTGCTTTCACTAATCACACTGACAAGTGGGAAACCCACTCATGGATAAAAGCACACACCGGCGCAGCGACAGTTAAACAAACACAGCCTCAGAGGCCGAGCTGACAGCTGAGAGAGTCCAGTTAAAGAACCTCAAGTTGATGGTGTCTTTTAATAGATTGATCCCTTAATAATGCAGAGCGGGAAAAGAAACTCGCTCTATAACTAATGTGTGAACATTCATCTCCCTCCAGCTCAGTCTGCTGAAGTGACAGGACATATGAAAGTTTCATGCTCGTTCTGTGGGGTCTTTCTGACAGAGATCGGTAGGATGAGGACGGTTGTGAACAGCAGCTAATGATCATGAGCTCATGTCAAGTGTGTCGTGAATGTTCATGCTGGAGTTATCGGTCATATATGCAGGAAGATAGCTAGATCTTTTGACCTGCATCACTTTTATGGAATTACTTGAACAAAAGATTTGTTTTTTATTGCTCTTTTTAAAAAAAAAAAATTCAGTGCATGTGTTTAAATGTTTTTATTTGGAATTTCAGCAGCAGATCATTTGTAAACACTTTTTTAAAATGCAAACACATCAAATTTGCATTATAACAAAAATGCATGAAACAAAAGAAAAAAAGCACAAAAATGCATTAAACAGATTCACACAAAATAATAAGAATTCAACTGTAATATTAAATAAAAAAAGTAAAAATAATTTTAAATAAGTTCAAAATGTTTCAATGCATGCAACAAAAAAGAAATACTTGTTTCACTTTCATGAAAGTGAAAGGAAACACAAGGTTTTGACTCTTTGACGCTGAACTTGTTTACATCTGGAATTAATAGCTGTTTCATGCATTCCAATCACAAGTGTTCAGTGCTAAATTTAGGGTGTAAATTGGATCCAAAGCCTTTTGTGACTCACTCATAATGTATGTGTGATCAGATTTGTAGACTTGCATCCTGGACCCGCCTACTCACCTGTCAGTCATTTACAATAACGTATGCATTTATGCAGATGCTTTTATACAAAGTGGAACAAAAGCAATTTGTCACAGAGCCAACAATATTCATAATATACAATGTCAGGTTTATTAGACAACTAGATTAGGAAGCAAGCTTTTTTTTTTTCAAGCATGCATGCAATCATGCATATATTGTGAAGTCTTGTGCATGTATTTGTTTAGGGCTTTTCCGTGTTTTTCATTTAGGTGGATGTGTTGCATGCATTGACACAAGTAATTTGCTTTTGGATCAATACCAGATGTGAACAGGACCTCAGTGTCAGGCCAGACTGGTGTTTGTTCACTCAGATCTCTCTTCTACACGGCTGGTCCTGTTAACAGAGGAAGTGAAGACAGTCTGACAGGAAGACAGGCAGGACAGACGCTGTGTGCGACTGAAGCAGAGTTCTTTCCCGTTTGTCTTTCAGAGACACAGATTCACCTGACAGAGGGAGAATCTCACGCGCTCAGGTGCTGCCGCTGATTTACTGAAAGAAAACAGAGAAATAAAGAGAGAGAAACAGGCTGCGTTCACACACTCAGTGTCTGGGATTGATAACTCGGGTGATCCTTTGGTCCTCTCTTGACTACTTAATCTTGAAAAAAATAACTTCTTCAAATCGTTTTTCCCAAAATACAGGCAGACATTCAGGTGGGTTTTAGTATAATGTGGGGTGTGATTTTGAAAACTTTTTTTCCAGAGAAAGGCTTAAAAGTAACCTAATGTTAGTGTAATCTGTTAACAAAGCACATCATAAACCCGTCTTTTTAAGCACCAGATAATGTGTGTCATGTCACAAAATGTTTTTAATACGACTGAAACTGTAGACTATTTAACGTGATCACAATTTAATAAAAACATTAGGCCGATTAATTATTTAAATTCAACAGTTATCCAAACAACGAATAAATTATATAGGGAAGTGAGCAAAGAACATTTACAGTATCAACGGAGCTTTTTGAAACTCCGAATCAGTTAAATCATTGCGTCGCAAAATTCGAAGCGCTCCAATCGGATCGCGTATCGGGACTTCAAAGCGCGTATCGCGAATCATTTGTTTCAGATCGGGACTTCGGCGCTGTTCGCAGGATGTTTTTTTATCCCCACCGGAGATAAAAATAATTCAGCAGAGGCAGGGATGCGTAGACCAGAGGGGGGGGGAGCTCCCCCATCCCCCCCCCGGCAAATCGCACCCTGTATATATATATATATATATATATATAGTTCAGTCATGAAACTCTAGATGGCGCATTCTGACGGGGTGTTAACGTAACTGATGATATAGAGTTGTCATAATTTAAATATATATATATACACACACACACACACACACACATACATTCATACATACATACATTTATAAAAATATTTTTTATTTTTATGATTCAGAGTTAACTAGCTAGCAGTCTGTTAACTGAAATCATAAAAATTTAAAACGTGATTTTTTTTATAATTGAAGAAAATACATATTTTTATGATTTCAGTTAACTCTAAAAGTATAAAAATTAAAAACATATATATAACTTTTTTATGATTATAATTAACTGAAATAATAAAAAATGAAAGAAAAAAATTATTAATAACTTTAAACATTTTTTATTGTATCTTTAATTACTTTTTTCTTAATTTTAAGAGGTTTTGAAAGGTTAAAATCAGGAGAATTATACTTCGTGCCTTCCTAAAGATGTATATTATATTTTTAAATTATATTTTCAGTTAATTTATTATTTGCATTTGTAATAGTATAAACAAGTATTTACTTTTAGTATTTATAATAGTATTTTTTTTATTTTTTATAATTTTTATTTGAATGATTTCAGAGTTAACTAGTTGTCTGTTAACTCTGAAATCATAAAAATTCAAAACAGAATTAAAAAAAAAATATATATATATATATATATTATGATTGCAGTTAAAGTAAGTAAAGTAAAGTAAGATTGCAGTTATGATTGCAGGTAAAGTAAAAGATAAAAAATATGTGATTATTTTAATAATTAAATATTGTCTATATATAACATATATAAACAATATTTAATTATAAAAATAATCACACACACACACACACACATATATATATATATATATATAT